CGGACCGCGCGCGGAGCGGGGCGGAGCGGGGCGGGCGCGCGCCGCACAGCGCACCCTGGCGGGCCGACGGCATCAGCGCCCCGCCCCGTCGGGGCCCCCCCACGGCACCGCCCGCACCGGGAACCGGGGGGACCGGGGGGACTGCGGGGACCGGGGGGGACCGGGGCATTGGGGAACTGACGGGGCTGGGGGCGTTGGCGGCACTGCGGGACTGGCGGCACTCGGGATTGCCCGAGGAGCTGGGCTGGCAGCGCGGAGCCAGCCGGCACCGGGGGGACCGAGGAGTAACGGGGAAGGCACCGGGGCGCGGTGCAAGGGGACGGGAGGGGCCGGTTTGACTGGGGGCAAGTGGAGGAGAGTGCGGGGGGCTCGGTGCGACATGGCGGGGCAGGGGAGGGACCAGGGGGTCACTGTGGAGGCCCCGGGCGGCTTTTCCGGCCCCGCCCGTCGGGTCCCCGCCGCCCATCCCTGCGGGCTCGGAAATGGCGGCCGGAGGCGGCGGCGCCGCGGAAATGGAGAGACCCCTCCACTCCCACCGCTCGGCCTCCCCGCCGGACCCGACCGCAGCATCGCACCCCATCCCATCCCATCCCATCCCATCCCATCCCACCATCCCATTATCCCATTATCCCACCCCAGAGCTGCAGGCTCTGTGTGACTCTCCCCACAGGAGCTGTTGGTTTGTTTCTGTTCCCTGCTGAGATCTGGACCTTGTCCTGCAGGGCCTGGGCTGGAATCTGCTGGGCAGCCCCATCCAACAACTGCTACAAACAGAAAACCAAAATATTGGAATTCTGGCCCCACGTCAGCTGTGGATGTGGAGCCCCTTCCATCTCCCAATTCCTTGCAGAGTCCTGTGATCTGCAGGGTGTCCCTGTTGTCCACTCCAGGCAGCCACACATCCCCCACTGCCTGTTTCCTAAAGAATTGGGGTAATTTCTGCCTGTTTCCTAAAGAATTGGGGTCATTTCTGCCTCTTTCTGATCTTCCCTTTCCTCCTTCTCCCAGCAACTCCTGAAACCATTGATTTTTCAGCCACTTTCAAAGCACAGAGACTTTTTTTACAAGGGATGGAGTGCAGGACAAGGGGGAATGGCTTCCCACTGTCAGAGGGCAGGGCTGGATGGGATATTGGCAATCAGGAATTGTTCCCTGGCAGGGTGGGCAGGGGCTGGGCTGGAATTCCCAGAGCAGCTGTGGCTGCCCCTGGATCCCTGGCAGTGCCCAAGGCCAGGGGCGTCAAGGAGGGGTTTGGGTGGCTGGATGCTGTCCCGGGGCCACCGTGACCATCCCATCCCACAGATCCCATCCCATCCCATCCCATCCCACAGATCCCGTCCCGTCCCGTCCCGTCCCGTCCCGTCCCGTCCCATCCCATCCCATCCCACAGATCCTATCCCACAGATCCCATCCCGTCCCGTCCCGTCCCGTCCCGTCCCATCCCGTCCCGTCCCGTCCCATCTAATGTTATCCACTCCCATTCTCTCCCACCCCATCCCATCCCATCCCGTCCCGTCTAATGTTATCCATTCCCATTCTCTCCCACCCCATCCCAGTCCGTCCTGTCCTTCCCGGTCTTGTCCTGCGCCATTCTGTCTATCCCACCATGCCCTGTCCCATCCATGTCCTCCTGTCCCACCCATCCACGCTGTCTCTTCGTGCCCCGGCCCATCCCACTCCATACACCCTGTGTGATCCCACCCTGTCCCATCCCATTCTATCCATGCTGTGTGTCCACTCCTGTCCCAGCCAGTCCCAGCCCGTCCATCCCACATCTTGTCCCATCACATCCCATTCCATCCATGTCTCATCCAGTTCCATCCCATCTCATTCCATTCATCCCGTGCCACTGGATCCTTTCTTATCCCACCTCCCAGTCCCATCCCTGCCTGCTCTGGCACAGCCCTGGCACACCTTGGGGGGGAAGCTGGTGACACTGAGCACAGGGAAGGGCAGGAAACCCTTTGGTTTGTGGGAAGAGGGAGAGGACAAGTGGGATGGGTCACCTGGGCTTGGGGGAGGACAGGGGTTTGCCAGCAGGTGGGGACCCCCAATTAAAGACCCCCTGTCCAGGCCCCTCCTGGGCTGTCCCAGGGGATTCACTGGGGTCACTCAGAGCATGGGGGGGATTCACTGGGGTCACTCAGAGTGTGGGGGATTCACTCAGAGCATGGGGGGGATTCACTGGGGTCACTCAGAGTGTGGGGGATTCACTGGGGTCACTCAGAGCATGGGGGATTCACTGGGGTCACTCAGAGCATGGGGGATTCACTGGGGTCACTCAGAGCGTGGGGGATTCACTGGGGTCACTCAATCCCCCCGGGCACCCAGGGGGTTGGGTGGCTGAGGGACCCTGGCACTCCCTGGTCTCTGTGGACCCCAAGTGCCACATGCCCATGGTGGCTGTGACCTAAGGGCTGCCCTCTCCCCTCCCACACCAAGTCCCGAGCTGGAACAACCCCTGGGCCTCGCTGGAGCTCAGGGGGTGTCTGCTGGGGAGAGGGAACTGTCTCTGTGTCCTGGGCTCTGGCAGGGAAGAGCCTGGGGAATGCTGGGCTGAGATGGAGCCTGGAAGGAAAAAACACCCAATGTGTGGCACCAGCTGTGCACCCTCTGAGACTCCTTCCAACCCATCCTTTGATTCCATGATCCCAGCTCCAAGGTGGCCACAACCACCAGCGCTTCTCCCTGTCCCTCATCCTGGGCGCGGGATGTCCCAGCTCCATCCCACCACGGATGCAAGGATTCCTCAGCTGTCCACAGCCCATTTGTGCGTGGCACGGGCTGGCTCCCGGAGCACAAACCCAGATCAAGTTAAAACCACCCATCCCAGATGCAGCATCCCAGAGCAGCCTTGTTTGGCTCTCCAGCTCAGCTTGGCTTGTGCTGTTCATCTGCTCCACAATGACCTGGAAAAGCTCCAGCCAGGAGCAATCCCATCCCGTCCCATGGATCCCATCCCATCCCATCCCATCCCATCCCGTCCCATCCCGTCCCGTCCCGTCCCATCTAATGTTATCCACTCCCATTCTCTCCCACCCCATCCCATCCCATCCCGTCCCGTCTAATGTTATCCATTCCCATTCTCTCCCACCCCATCCCAGTCCGTCCTGTCCTTCCCGGTCTTGTCCTGCGCCATTCTGTCTATCCCACCATGCCCTGTCCCATCCATGTCCTCCTGTCCCACCCATCCACGCTGTCTCTTCGTGCCCCGGCCCATCCCACTCCATACACCCTGTGTGATCCCACCCTGTCCCATCCCATTCTATCCATGCTGTGTGTCCACTCCTGTCCCAGCCAGTCCCAGCCCGTCCATCCCACATCTTGTCCCATCACATCCCATTCCATCCATGTCTCATCCAGTTCCATCCCATCTCATTCCATTCATCCCGTGCCACTGGATCCTTTCTTATCCCACCTCCCAGTCCCATCCCTGCCTGCTCTGGCACAGCCCTGGCACACCTTGGGGGGGAAGCTGGTGACACTGAGCACAGGGAAGGGCAGGAAACCCTTTGGTTTGTGGGAAGAGGGAGAGGACAAGTGGGATGGGTCACCTGGGCTTGGGGGAGGACAGGGGTTTGCCAGCAGGTGGGGACCCCCAATTAAAGACCCCCTGTCCAGGCCCCTCCTGGGCTGTCCCAGGGGATTCACTGGGGTCACTCAGAGCGTGGGGGATTCACTCAGAGCATGGGGGATTCACTGGGGTCACTCAGAGCGTGGGGGATTCACTGGGGTCACTCAATCCCCCCGGGCACCCAGGGGGTTGGGTGGCTGAGGGACTCTGGCACTCCCTGGTCTCTGTGGACCCCAAGTGCCACATGCCCATGGTGGCTGTGACCTAAGGGCTGCCCTCTCCCCTCCCACACCAAGTCCCGAGCTGGAACAACCCCTGGGCCTCGCTGGAGCTCAGGGGGTGTCTGCTGGGGAGAGGGAACTGTCTCTGTGTCCTGGGCTCTGGCAGGGAAGAGCCTGGGGAATGCTGGGCTGAGATGGAGCCTGGAAGGAAAAAACACCCAATGTGTGGCACCAGCTGTGCACCCTCTGATGGAACAACCCCTGGACCTCGCTGGAGCTCAGGGGGTGTCTGCTGGGGAGAGGGAACTGTCTCTGTGTCCTGGGCTCTGGCAGGGAAGAGCCTGGGGAATGCTGGGCTGAGATGGAGCCTGGAAGGAAAAAACACCCAATGTGTGGCACCAGCTGTGCACCCTCTGAGACTCCTTCCAACCCATCCTTTGATTCCATGATCCCAGCTCCAAGGTGGCCACAACCACCAGCGCTTCTCCCTGTCCCTCATCCTGGGCGCGGGATGTCCCAGCTCCATCCCACCACGGATGCAAGGATTCCTCAGCTGTCCACAGCCCATTTGTGCGTGGCACGGGCTGGCTCCCGGAGCACAAACCCAGATCAAGTTAAAACCACCCATCCCAGATGCAGCATCCCAGAGCAGCCTTGTTTGGCTCTCCAGCTCAGCTTGGCTTGTGCTGTTCATCTGCTCCACAATGACCTGGAAAAGCTCCAGCCAGGAGCAGGATGAGGGAGCTCCACAATGACCTGGAAAAGCTCCAGCCAGGAGCAGGATGAGGGAGCTGCAGGTACCCGCGAAGGGCTGACACGGAATTCAGAATGGAAACACTGTATTGACAGACTTTACAAAAGTTATTACAAAACACGGTCACGAACCAGCAGCTGACGATACAGAGCGAAGAGACACCACGTACAGCCACCTCAGAACAACACCAACAGCTCCAGAAGTCATCCAATATTTACACAAACAGCTGGAAAACTCCGGGCGGTTATCGCATACATGGAAGTGTTTTAGAGCAACTGTGAAATATAGTGTCACACCTTTCCTTGTAGTATTATCATCATCATAATTAATAATAATAATAATAATAATAATTAATAATAATAAGACTACTTCTAGGTTAACTAAAAACCAAACAGCTCTTTACAGGGGTTAGGAGAAGCTGCTTTCACTCGTCTGACTTACCTGAGTGAGACCAAACCCAGTTAAAAAATAATAATAATAATAAAATCACCTTCATTGTCAGGAGTCCGCGTGTCGGCCCAGCGGCGCCGTTCCCTCGGGCCAGAGGGGAACCACAGCCCGCCCGGTGCCAGTGACACCCTTCAAAAGCACGGAGACGCGTCCTCCTCGTGCGAGCGACCCCAGCACGCCTCCCGGCGCCGCCCTTCCCGCCTCCTCCTGCTCCGATGTCCTCAGCCCCTTCTCCTGCACCTGCTTTATCTCACCCCGCTCTTTGCCGCGCTCTCCTCTCCGCTTTTCCGCCTTCCGCAAATCCCGCTTCGTGCCCCGACCTCCTCCTCTCTGCCTGGCTTCTCTTGCCTTCATCCCAGTCGTGGCCTCGCGGCCTTTCGGGACACGGACGACGCAGCGGGAGCGGCACCTTCCTTCCCTCCCTCCCTCCTCGCGCTTCCAGCCTTGCGGTGAAACGAGTGGAAAAAAGAAAGCGAAAGCTTGTCACTCCTGAATATGCACAAAGATAGGTGGGGGAACACCTGCTAAATACGGAGCCCAGAGAATCGCTCGGGGTTCGTTCTCTACGGGCAGAATCCAACCCCGCGTAGGGAACAGCGAGCGGCGGGGCCCGCGCCGCGGTGGAAGCGCCGCGGGGTCCCAGAGCCGCCTGGGCCGGCCGAGCAGAGTCTTTAAGAGGAATTCCTTGGATGCTTCACCAAAGCGGGCTTCGTAGCGTGACCACACGGATTAGCTGCGATACAAGTCACCTGCCATCACGCCGCACGTCCACCTGCCAGACCGTCGCGGTCGCCGCGAGCCCTCCCGCCCCGGCCCCACCACGGCTACTGCTTAGTCTCTTTTTTCACGCAGAAATGGTCGGTTTGGGTGCCCGCCGAGCCCAGGTTGTGCTGGGAATCCTCCCCGGGCCGCGGGTTGCGGGAGTGGATTTTCTGGTGGCAATTCAGGGACTCTTTGTAGCGGAAGTGCTTCCCGCAGACGGGGCACTGGTAGGGGGTCTCCCCGGTGTGCACCCGCCAGTGCTTGAGCAGGTGGTCCCGCCGGATGAAGCTCTTGCCGCACTCGGTGCACTGGTAGGGCCTCTCCCCGGTGTGGATGCGCTGGTGGCGGATGGCCTTGGAGAGGTCTCGGAAGTCCTTCCCGCAGTAGGTGCACGTCAGCGGCCCGTCGCCCTTCCCCGTGTGCAGCTTCTGGTGCAGGATCAGACTCACTTCCAGGCTGAAGCTCTCCTTGCACTGGGAGCAGGTGTAGGGCCTCTCCACCATGTTGTTCACCTGGTGCCTGACGAAGCCGTACTTGAATCCCGAGCTCTTCTCTCCGTCGGGGCGCTTGGACGCTTTGGAGCGGGAGGGGCCCTGGCCCTTGGCTTTGGATTTCTGCCGGAAGCTCTCGCCGCGCTCCAGGGACGTGCAGGCCTCCTGGCTGGCGTGAGCCTTCTGGTGGGTGGCGAAGAGCTGCTTGTCCAGGAAGCTCTCGCCGCACTCGCAGCAGATGTAGGGCCCCTTGTCGGCCGCCGCCTCCTCGGGATCCTTCCTGGCCAAGTCTCTCCCGCGGCGCACGGAGCGCCTCAGCCCGTTGCCCGTCGCCGTTCGCTGCGGCCGGGCCGACCCGCTCTGGCTCTTGCTGCTCGATTGCATCTCCTCCTCCGGGTTGGAGAAAACCTCTTCCCACTTTCCTGTCAACGACCTGGAAAGCTCCAGGCTCTCGGAGCCTTCCTCCTCGCACGGCTGTTCGTCTGGTGGAGCAGAGACACTGGTGTCATTTGGGGTCACAAGGACTGGGCTGTCACTTACTCGGTTCCCTCGGGACACGGGATGGTCTCTGCTGTGCACACCCAGCTCAGAGCCTGGCACTGACAGGGCTGTGAGTCCGGCTGGGAGCACCTACACTCTGTCCAGAGGGATTTGACTTGGAATCTTGGAATTGTTGAGGTTGAAAAAGGCCTCAGAAATCTTAAAGTCCAGCACTGCCAAGGCCACCCCTGACCATGTCCCCATGGATGTTACGTCCCTCCAGCAATGGAGAATCCACCACTGCTCTGGGTGGTCCCAATGTGCAACAGGCTCTTTTAGGGAAGAATTTTCCCAATATTCAACCTGACCCTCTCCTGGCCCAGCCTGAGGCCGTTCCCTCTCCTCCTGTCCCTGTTCCCTGGGAGTAGAGCTCGACCCTGCTGGCTGTCTCTTCCTATCAGGGAGTTGTGCAGAGCCACAAGGTCCCCCTTGAGCCTCCTTTCCTCCAGGCTGAGCCCCTTTCCCAGCTCCCTCAGCTGATCCTGGTGTTCCAGACCCTCCCCCAGCTCCATTTCCTTCTCTGGACACACTCCAGCTACTTTCTGCCTTCAACTATATTGTAATGTAATATTATATATATAATCTAGCTATAGATAGGTAGCCAGAGGAAAAAAGAGGGTTCCTGAAGCAGGACAGACCTTTAAGAACTCATGCTTTAGGATAAAGCCCAAAAAACAGAAGAAAAAGGAATAAAACTTTTTTTCCTTCATAGGCTTGGACAGTGCCCGAGGGTGAAGGATCTCCCATGGTATAAACTGTGACTCAAAGCAACTTTCTGAAATTCTGGAAAAGCATCATCCAGAAAAGCTGAGCTGCTCCTGGGAATGAGGCTGGGAAGTCAAAAGCACATCTAGGCAAGGGACATTTTCCAAAGCAGCTCAGTGCACTCACATGTACCAGGGACCTCCATGCTCTCCTCTTCCTCAGAGCCTTCGTGGCTTTCAGCCAGAGTCTCTTCATATTTACCCCACGAGCTGTCATCAGGCCCAGGGAAAAAAAACTCTGTGCAAGAGAAAAGAGCGGGAGTTACACTCCAAACTCTGCTTTAGAGGATTCCAGAAAGAGGGATGCATCAGGTGGGAGACAAGCAGGAGGAGTTACACTCCAACCTTCCAGCTGCTTTAGAGGATTCCAGAAAGAGGGATGCATCAGGTGGGAGACAAGCAGGAAAGCAAAGCCCCCCTGCACCTGAGGAGAGAGCTGACAAAACAGAACAGCCCCACATCTACCTCCACCTCCCCCCTGAGTCCCAGGAACCTCGTGGCTCACCAGTGCTGGGGTCTGTGGGGGTCTCTCCTCCCTCGGAGTCCTCCTGATCCTCAGCGTTGGGATCCTCTCCCTGCTCAATCCGTGTCAGCAGATCAGGCTTGGAAATGGCAGCGTCTGCACACAAAAAGAGGGTGAGGATGTTTCCCCCGCCCTGGCAGGAGAGCGACTCTGCAGCCTTTGCCCACCAACCTTCCTTCGCTGGGAAACGAACGAGAGAGGCTTAGGAAGCTGCTCTCAGCCCTCTGCCCCGCTCACCTTGCGTGGGCCCTGGATGCAGGAGCGCACTCTGCTCAGGTGAGGAGCACCTCCCAGCCTGCAGCGTGAGGAGGACAGTAAGAAAAGGCATCCGGGCTTACCTGCAGGCTCTCCTGTCTTCTCCTCTGCGCTAAGGTCCGCGGATCCATTACAATGGGGACTTCAGCTCGGGGGCAGCAGCAGAGCTGCCAGCACTGCCCTCCCCGTGCGGTTCCCTCCAGCCAGGACCGCTCCGTCCTACTCGTCCGAGTCACGGGCTGCTCGCGGATTTTGGTGGGGGAAAGGGGACAATCACCATCTCTCCTCGGGCGGAGAGCAGAAAACTTCACTTCCAGACATGTGGGAGGCCCTGGGGGTTAAACTCCACCTCTGCTCCGGTGGATCCGTTTGCCTTACACAGGAGCCAAAGCCCTAAACCTCGTTTCTCAAGGGAAACCTTGGGATGAAGCACAGATACGTTTCTCTAAGCTCCAGGCTCAGATCCCCAGATCCTCTGCAGCTGCATTCCTGCGCCTCAGGAGCAGGACACGGGACTGGTTTAGAAACAGGAGGGTGGGGGCTGTGGTTACCCTTCACCTTTCTCCCTGGCACACAGGGAATGCAGGAAACTTCTGTTCAAAGAAATAAATGGGGGGGAAAAAAACCACGAAAGGCCTGGATTGGGCAGAGCTGGATGGCAGGGAGGCAGATGAGGCTGGACTCGGCACAGGGAAGTGTCTGGCTACCAGGGACGGCGTCTGCGCTCCCACCCCATGTCCAGCCAAGGCAAGGTCATTTCTGGAACATGCTGTGAAGGCAACGTGTTCCCCAGAGGGAATTCCCGCGGCCGGGACTGGCAGGAGCGAGCGGAGCGCGTTCCTTTGGCTGGGAATGCACTGCCCTGAGCTGCTGAGGGGAAAGCAGGAGGCAGAGCTCAGCCTCAGCCACCGCTTCTCCCCAGCTCTGCCCCAGCAGACCCCGCAGGGGTCGAGCAGGACTCGCTCCCTGGGGCTGGACAGAGCACCGGGCAAACGTCACTTCTTCCTCACGGGAGAGGAAAGGGAAGTCTGCACAACTCCCCATGGAAAGGGCTGGAAGGAACCTCAGAGGCAGGGCACAGGGCACCCTCCGCTGCCCTAAGCAGCCAGCGGGCTGATGCACCCAGCGCAGTGGATCTGTGGACCTTGGCGTGACAAAGGAACTTCCCTCTCCCCCAGCTTTGCTTGGACTGAGGGTCCTCTCACTTCCCCTCCTCCTCCTCCTCACAATCCCAGCACTGGCCGGGCTGCAGGGACCATCAGGGAGCCACTGTCCCTTCGGTGACACTCATGACATCCTTCCACCCTCAGCGTGGCTGTGAGGGCTGAACTCACTGCCAGGGTTGTGTCACACTCCCCAGAGCACACACCCCCTCCCTGACCCCGCAGGGCACAGCGCTGCTTCCGTCCACCAGCTCCCAGGAAAACTCTGTGCCAGGAGGCTGAGGGCAAACCCAGGCCTGTCATTACCCATGGAGATGACGGCCTCGTAGTTGCCTTTCATGATGTGCCTGTAGAGCTCCTTCTGCCACTCGTTGAGGCTCTTCCACTCCTCCTCAGAGAAGTTGAACGAGGCGTCGTTGAAGGCCACGGGGACCTGCAAGGAGCAGCACCACGGGGTCGGTTTCTCATTTAACAAAACACCTGGGGACGTTTTCTCATTCAATTTTCTCACTCAAACTCCTCGAGCGTCGTCCCAGACAGGAACATCTGCTCCTTCCCACGTGCCTCATGCCTCAAGGGACACGACAGGGATTTCCCCTGTCACCCGCCTGTCACCTCCCCCTGCTCAGCCTCCTCCTGTGACAGGCGATGCCCGGTGCACAGTGCCTGGCACAGACTCCTTTGCACCTCCTTTTTAACACAATTCTGCTGCTCATCATCTCTGAACAGCCCCTGGGGATGTTCCGGAGCCTCCCCAGTTACAAGGGGCTGAGCCACAAAATTCCATGTGATCCAAACACAGGAATTTGTGACGTCCCTCCGAGATCACACGTGCATGAATAGGGCATAATCCACACAGCAGGACCTGTGCTGGTGCTTCTGGGTGCTGAAGGAAAGACAGGGCTGTGGGGGAGCCATGAACAGCTCTCAGCAGCTGTCCCAAAATGGGACTGTGAGCACAGGGACCAGGCTGTCACTGCAGGATATGGTGTTGTCAGTGCAGGATATGGGGCTGTCAGTGCAGGGATCAGGCTGTGAGTGCACAGGATATGGGGTTGACAGTGCACAGGAGATGGGGCTGCACAGGATATGGGGCTGTGAGCTCAGGATAAGGGGCTGTGAACACAGGGCATGGGGTTCTGAGCCCAGCATACGTGCAGAACAGCCCCGTTTTCCAGCGGGGAGCAGCAAACCGTTACCTTGGGGACTTCCCCTTTGGCCCCCGGGGGCAGCCGCAGGATCCAGAAGTTCCTGTTCTTCAGCAGGTTCTCCATGTTCTCCAGCCGCTTCTGCAGCTGCCCGTACTCCTGGATCAGGGTGCCCAGCGCCGTCCACTTGCTCTCCAGCTGGTTCCCGAACTCCACCGCCGTCTTCTCGCAGCCGATCAGCTTCGTCTCCGCCATCCTCATCCTGCCCTCCAGGTTCATCAGCTGCGCGGCCTGGGTGTCCACCTTCCTGTCCACGGCCTGGATCTCGGTCACCAGCGTCAGGGAGATCTCTGCGGCCGGCAGCTCGGCCTCGCCGCCGGGGCCCTGCTCGGGGGCGGGCAGCGGCTGCTCCAGGCCCAGCTCCTGGGGCTCCATCATGCACTCCAGCTCCTGAGGGGGGAACGCGCGGCGGTGAGCGCGGTGAGCGCGGTGAGCGCGCCCGCAGCCCGCGGGGGGGGCGGG